TCGATTTGAGACCGAGCGATTTTTAGCCGAAACAATCTAAATGAGAATTGAAGATCTCATTAATTGTAGTAAAACAATAAAAAGATAGGCGAAAACGGACGTCGGATGAAGAAGTTATGATTTTATAACGGAGTTTTCCTGTCTCGGCCTACTAAAAATAAATAATAAAAAATAAACTCAAAATTAGCCGACGGAGTCTAAACGAAAGTTGTAGATCGTATTCTCACCTACGCGTGGATATAAAGAGCGTCGAAAACGGAGTTCGTATGAGGAAGATATGAATTTTTGAAGTTTATTTAATAAATTCGGTATTTAATTTAAATAAAAATTCGCTGATATTATCCATGGGGGGGAGTCACCGGCCTTATCCCCGTTACGCCCCGCGTACATAAATTACGCCCCGCGTAAATCGCAGATCCAGCCTCTATAAAAGGCTTGCGAGGGCAGCCGAAAGTTTTGTTCATTTCTTCTCTTCTCTCTCCCGTTTTGCATCGTTTTGCGTGCCAGAAATACCCCGAAGCCCCGGTAATATTCCCGAGTCCCGAAGCGAGTCCCGAGATCCCGAAGATCCCGAGAAGTGCGGTTTCCGAGCCGAAGCTCTACCCGCGAGAAGTTCGATTTTCGTAAAGATCTTCCAGATCTGCGGAGGATTATTACTTTTGTGAGTCGTAGTTGTCCGATCATCTTCTGATCAAGTGAGTGTATACTACCTTTCATAAACGCAATAATAATACAAGTATGGTTTGAGTGTATTAAGTTTATCGTCGTTTATACGTGCGAAGGCGTTGTTACTTTCTCCTAACGTATAACTATAAAGTATTTTATACGAGATACGTGTTATGTGTATATTTTGTTGTTATGTGTGTGAATGTATATTCACCTTCTTCTATCTTACAGATATGATTATTTCTATATGAAATACGTGTTATGTGTGTGTGCCTCATCTGTTATATGGAAAATGTATTGATCAAGCATGCTATACAGGTTTTGAAAATATGTATAAAAATGTATGTTTTTATCTACTAATATGTTGGGTAGAACATGGGTAGATAGTTGGTGTGTAATAAACAGATGAGAGGCCTCGTTGTTGTTTTGATCCAGTCATCTAGCGGAATTTAGATGACGACCACGGACTTTTCTAGACAATCCAGTGGAACACTAGCAGGCTCATAACCTATAGGTGTTAATGAACTTGGGTGTTCATTCGCTGTATTCCATCCCACTCATGGTTGTCTTATTTGACTTATATTGCTGAGGAAACCCCGCAGCATGTGTTGTCACCCCGATGAAAATATTCTTAGATTAGGTCCCTTGTGTTAGTTATTTTAGGGACATAAAGTGAGAATAACGGGAATGGGTAACTGGGTTATTGTTGGTTGATAATAATTAATTTTAATTATTTATTGTGGGTTGAAAACCCTATATGCTCACCAGGCTCCCAAGCCCGACCCACTTAGTTTTATTTGTATTACAGGAAGTGGCGCAAGGGCGTAAGATGGATGAACCATCAAGTTGTTTTGTTTGCAAGTCTGCATATGTTTATATTTGTTATATGACTTGTAATGTATTCGTTTATGCTTATTGGTCTGTATCGGAACATGACACCCCGAGTTTTGATTATAATGAAAATACATTTCTTTTATGAAATGCTTTGGTAAACATCGTTTTATCATGTTTTGTTTTTGGGAACAAATTCCACAACTCTTTCAAATCAAAAGGATTTACTCTGAAAATATTTAAAAACATAAATGAAAATCGGTCTTTTCTGGCCGAGATTTTGGGGATGTCACAGATTGTAACTCATCTATATAACACTAAAAATAACAATATTATAGTCTAAAGTCATATACAAAATCTAAATTACATGTTAGAGAAAACCTCATGTCAATTTGACTTAAAACAAATGAGATATGTTTGTTTTCACAATTTCACAAAATACAAAAGTTTAAATTTCTTGCTAAAACGTTAAAATATTTCAGCTTTGATATCTCATCTTTGAATGATTGTAAATAATCTAATATAACACCAAAAACAACAAAACTGTAATCTAAATCATCTACAAACTCTAAATTACATATTAGAAAAAACCGCATGTCAATCCGACTTAAAACAAATGAGATATACTTGTTTAAAGAATTTCACATAATACAATTTTTTTTTAAATAAGCCGGTCAAAAACCGGTTTTTACCGGGAACCAATAAAAAAACCGGACTGATTTGCTCAAATACTAGAACCTAGAACTGGCCCAGGGGTCTAAAAAACGTTCCGGTCTGGTCCACATATCCAAATGCTCACCCCTAGACCTGGGACTCCTACCTCCTGTTTGACGAGTTTTCCTACAAGAACAACTATCACGCTAGTATAGGTATGCCTCCTTTCAAACTTCTTTATGGGAGGAAGGTTCGGACCCCTATCTGTTGTGGAAAGGTCGGATAGAGGGTCATGGGGAGCATTGAGATAGTGCTTAAGACAATAGAGCTTATACAACAGGTTAGACAGAGGTTACTGACGGCTTAGAGCCGTTAGAATAGTTATGAGGACCGTCGATGCTCTGAGTTAGCGTTTTAGATTGGAGATATGGTAGTCCTAAAGGTATCACCATGGGAAGGTGTCATCCAATTCAAGAAGCGATGCAAGTTATGCCCCATGTTTATTGGTCCTTTCATAGTAGTAGCTAGGGTAGGCAAGGTGGCCTACTAGTTGGATTTATCAGATGAGCTTAGTCAGATTCATTACATATTCCACGTTTCTTAGTTGAGGAAGTTTGTGGCCGATAAGACCGTTGTAGTACATGTGGATGACATACATGTCGATGGTCGCCTGAATTACATTGAGCATCCGATTGCGATATTGGATAGGAAGTTGAAGGCCTTACGGAACAAGGTAGTGAGAACGATCAAGGTTCAGTGGCAGCACTGGAAGGGCTCTGAGTAGACTTGGGAGCCCAAGGAGGTGATGTGCGAGCATTACTCTGATCTATTCACAGCTGAGGACTTTGAGGACGAAGTATGATTGTAGTGAGGGAGAATTGTAACACCTGTTCCTCATGTATATTTTCTTTTGATTTTTAAAGTTATAATCTTTGAGAATTATGAAGTACACATGCATAGATTATGAAGTATGTAGGGTGTAATTCATTAATCTCATGCGAGGGTCTTACCCACTACGCAGGGCGTAGTGACGCAGAGTGAAAATCCTAAATTCTGGGTTTCAAGCCTTATTTAAAGGACCTTAACCCCTTGATGCCTTTCTTATGACCATCCTCCATCCTCCAAAGGCGCCCTTTCGAAACCCTAACCAATTTTGAGAGATTTTTGAGGTTCTAAGTGTCTGTGTGTGTGCTCCTTTGAAGAAGAAGATCCTTGGAGAAGCATATAAGAGTCCAAGCATTATAGATCTAGATTCTCCAGCTTGTTTTCCACCCATAAGAGGTATAAAGTTCCCATGTTGGCAAACTTTCATGATAGATGTAGTTATTGTGAATTTTATATGCTTTTGTCCCATAACTTTGGTTCTAGTGAGTATGTTCTACTCCAAACCATTTGAAGCCCATTTCCTGCCATTTTTAGGGTTGTAGAGCCATAAAGTTGCAAGCTTAAACAATCCCATTCACCTCCATGCATGAGATCTTGAGCATTGGTACATTTCACGGACTTATATCTTGATTTATTACTTATTTATGACATGCAAATAAATAAAGTTAGGGATGTTATCCATTAAGACGTCCACGCCCCTATAGTTTATATTTACATGGTTAAAGAGTTGACTATATGAATTGAGAGCTTAATAGATCATTTAGCATTCAGACTTACTATGCGGGGCGTACATCTTGCTACACAGGGTGTAGCTTGATGTTGGACCGTAATCTCATAACTTTTATGCCATGTGTACTGTAGTTGGTACACGGGGCATAGGAGGGTGGACCGTGGACTTTAACTTGCTGACTTTTGGTCAAAATTAGGTTTTGAGCATAGTTTGAAAAAGATACTTCTTTATTGCTGATTAGGTGCTTATTTTGCACCTGTCTACCCCGTGTGAGTTGTTACACTTAGCTGCTACTTGTGAGGTGAGTCTTCTCATTACATTTACCTATATGGTAATTTTATCTATGACCAACTGGGTCTTAATTGCTGATTATTGTTATCTATACATTGAATTGTATTGCTAATAATTTGGGATTAATGAGAATCCCCGGGGTTGCTGATAACCCTTGGAACATGCTGTTAGTCCACAGGACGTGCAGTTAGCCCATTGGGATTGTTGATAATCCCCAGGGTTGTTGATAACACATAGTTTTTATTATGTTGTGCTATATGGATATTTTGGGAATGACTCACTGAGCTTTATGTTTACAATTACGGATTAATTTGTTTTAGGTGCTTTGGATGATCACGGGAAAGCGAAGGCTTGACTGTACACTCTAGCTCATAGTTTTTATGATTTTCAACTTTTTGATACTCTGGTTTGGATGACTATATTGATGTACTCGAGATTTTTCATGACTTGGATTTTTATGACATTTGTGGTTTTGTTGAATTAAAAACGAAATTTTTTGTGGTAAAAATCAGTCTGTTACATATGTAATGGAAAGCATAAAGACTTTGTTACTCAACTTACGACATTCTTCTCGATCAGAGATTTTTCAGCCTCGATTTCTTCCATGGTGGCACACTTGATGATTAGATCGTTGTAATAACAACTTCTGATGGCAAATGTTTTAGAATTTTTGATTATTTAAGTAATGCATTCTAAACCTACATCAAGACACCCCTCAACATGGCAAATCCATATTTGGCATCTTCAATATCCATAGCTATCGGAAAAAATAACATTAATAACAATAGAACCCACAAATCCTCAACATGGCAAATCCATATTTGGCATCTTCAATATCCATAACTATTGGAAAAATAACATCAATAACAATAGATACCACAAATCTATGTTAAATAAAAAAGTAAAAAAAAGGAGGAGAAGGGGTTGTTGCGGTAGTGAGAAGATGATGCTATGGTTGGTAGAGGCGATGAATGATGCAACGGTGGTGACCTGGTGGAGTGGTGCTTCAGTGGTGGTGATGAATGGTTTTGAAATAGGGTCGTTGATGAAGGAGACAGTGAGGATAACAATAGATTCTAGTGACAGTAGTAGTGGCTGATGGAAGTAGCTGGTCGAATGTAATTGTGTGGAGGAGAAAGGGTACATAGAGGAGACTTCAAATTAGTTGGTGATGCAAGCGAGACGCATGTTGTTATACAGGGGATGAAAATGTTGCAGAAATGCAATCTGATCCGGCAACACATAAGCAGAACATGTGGATAAAGTAAGAGGCGGTGGATGAAAAAGATCAAAATCAAAGAGCTTAATGAAGAGGAAAAGTGTGGAGAAGGATTATGATATCGAAAAATAGAAAGAAAAACAAAGTTTTCTTTGTTTAAAGACAATCAAGGAAGTGCAACGTCTTTTGTTATCTGATTGGAAGCAATGGAAGGTAAGAGGAGACCAGTGATTAAACCTGTCAATCTTATATAACATTGCGACAAAACTCTGAATAATAAAAGATATTACACATAAATTAATATAATTATATAATATATAATGTATTAAGTAAAAAAGAAAAACACCTGACTCCTAACTAATTTTAAAATAACTATTATAAATATTTAAAAATTATAGTTATTCGTGTCTTTCTCTTTTATTAAAATAAATAATCCGTTTAAAAACTAAAACAAATGCAGTAGAAGCTACGGACCCGATGGTCACCCTGTTCGTAGTGGACGCGTCAGCGTGCCACATGGCAGACCTATTCGGTGACAGAGCTCACTGCCACTGCAGCTACACCACTACCCATAAAATAAAACACCCAAAAACGCCCTCTTTCTTTCGCATCCCCTATTCATTGATTCCAATCACATATTCTTTGGATTCAATCTTTTTTTCTTTTCGATTTCTAGGGTTTCAGATTCTCTTTTCAGTTTTTCTTAAATACAACAATTTCTCACTATACTTTTCTTTTGTCCTTCTTTCTGATCTCGCATCTGCATCTCAGATTCCGATCCTGCCTTTTCTTCTTCGATAATTGATATAACATGTTGCTAGATCTGTTGTTCCTTTGCAGTTTCTGGAGCAAATCACTCTGAAAAGTAAGATTTGCAGATTTAGATCACTTGTTTATTGTAGCTTAGATTCAAGGGTTTACGATTCAGTTTGTGGATTCCGTTAACGAAATGTGTTACATTTGACTCGATTTTAGTAAGATTCGTACTTTTTGAGGATATAGCTCGAATTTTCAGATTATGTTTATTTCGTTACTTTTCAATTATCTATTATTAACACATGCGGCAAGTTTGTCCCGATTCCGGTTTAAGCTATTAAGCATGTTAATTTGAAAAAAAGAAGATTGATTGTCAAAGCCTCAAAGGATTTAGCAACGATTGTTCTTTAAGATTATAACTGCAAGTTGATCCCTATTTACTATTTGGGTAAATGTGAAAAACTTGTGCCATTTCCAGTTTTAGCTTTGATCAAATCAAGTCCATCTTACACATGAGGCTTGATATCCTAAATAAATTGTACGTAGTTGAAACTAAATCATGTATTCAAGGATACAGGTTCTGGAATGCAATTATAATTCATGTTTAACTCAACTTGTAGCTTCTTTATCCTGAATGCTCTTAATGTTTGGGGGTTGGCGTTTGCAAATTACATATTTAGCAAATTCAGTGTAGGTAATTGGCTTGAGTGTGACATTGTTGTTTAAGAAGTTCTATAGCAACTCACAAGAAGTTTCCATACATAAAAAGTTGATTTTATTACTACGGAATCATTTGGAAAGTGAAATCATCTCTATTTGTAGGAAATTACCATGCATGGTACTGCAGTATTGCATTACCATGTATGGTAACAGATTACATTATAAAGTGGTTGGAAACTTTTCGCGAACTTATTGGTGCACACAAAAGTTCCTCTTGTGACAAGGAATATGCTGGATTTGTGATGTCTTGGGTCCTTTCTCTTTTGTTTCTTAAGGTTAGAATCTGGATGATAAAGACAAACCAGCTTGTGGAGTCTTAAATGGTATGCAGCAGCTATCTCAGGACAGTAATTGTGCAAGGTGTGAATATTCAGAAAGTCGCAGAGGGGTTGTTGCAGTTTCCAAATTTTAGAAAAGGTCTGAAGACTGTTTCTACAGCAACCTTTTTGTCTGATCGAATATTTCCATCTGGAAGAAGAATGATGGTGGATACGAGTGCAACGGGTAACCAGGGTCCAACTATCAACAAAAGTTCACCAGAGAAGGATGATAATGGTGGCTGTGCAAGTGGAGGATGGAAGAGGTGATTGTCCTTTTGAAGAACACCTGCTATGTTGCTGTTTATTCTCTTTGCTTACATGTCTTTATTGTGTCTTGTATTGACAGTGAAGATGGAAAATTGGGATGTGGCTATTCAAGCTTCAGAGGTAAAAGAGCTACCATGGAGGACTTCTTTGATGTCAAGACTTGCAAGATTAATGGGCAGACTGTGTGTCTATTCGGGATATTTGATGGTTATATTCTTTCTCAGCAATCTTTATGATAGAATCTTTTTTTG